TAAAACTCAAACCCTACTCGAAACCCAGCCCTGGTCTTAAATTCTACCTCCAAAACCCAACCCTGGCCTTATACCCAACCTTATCTGACCCTAAAATCCAACCCTGGGCTTAGATTTGGCCCTAAAACCTCACCCTGGCCTTAATATCAGACCTTACAATCCAGTACTGACCCTAAGACCCAACCCTGGCTTTCACGCTGTCCCTAAAACTCAAACCCTACTCGAAACCCAGCCCTGGTCTTAAATTCTACCTCCAAAACCCAACCCTGGCTTTAGACCCAACCCCAAACCTGACCCCAGCCTCAATCCATGACCCCAAAACCCAACCTTAAAACACGGCCCTGGCCTTAAAACCTGACCCCAAAACCCAACCCCATCCCTAAAACCCAACCTTAAGACCCACACCTAACCCAAAACCCAACGTGAAGACCCAAGCCTGACCCTAAAACCCAACCCCAGCCCTAAATCCTGACCCCAACCAGAGGTGCTGGGCTGAATATGGCACACAGGTGGATGCAGAATGTAAACCCCAATGGCAGCTGGAGTTGGACGTGGGGGGGAATATTGCAAAGAAAGGCAAAATTTGTTCCAAAAGGGTAAAAATCTGTTGGAAGAATGCAGAATATGCCCCCAAAAAAGAAAAGCATCTGTTCCAAAGAAGGTGAAAAATGACAAAATAAAGGAAAAATCTGCTGCAAAAGGCAGAAATCCACCCGAAGGTGGCAGGAATTTGCCCCAAAGTGGCAGAAATCCACCCCAAATCCCAAATTCTCAGCACCATTTGCTCGAAGCCAAGGGACCTGACACCCACTTCCCCAATTAGCTGTGCTTGGGACGAGTGCTAATTAATCCCGAGCTCATTTGGATGGCCCTGACCTAATTATGGGGTAGGCAACATCAGTGGCAGTGCAGAAATGGCCCCCAAAAGGCCCTAAAAGCCCCCCAGAAAGCAGCAGGAAAGCACCTGGAAGATGACTGAGCTCATTAGCAGGTGGCTGTTCATTAATTAACTAATTAATCAATCAGCCCTGGGTCCTCCAGGGAGCAACACTCCCTGAGGACTGCGTGATGAAATAGGAAAAACTGGGAGGAACTCCCCCAGAACTCCACCATATGGAGCAAAGCAATGGGTCCTATAGGGCCTCCTGCACCCATACCCACCCTATGGAGCCCCTATATGGCCCTCCTCTACTTGTAGCTGCATTATGGGATGGATGTATGGTTTCTATAGGGCCTCCTGCACGTAAATGGATGCAAGTATGACCCTTCTCTACCTCTACTTGTCCTATTAAACACGTATATGGCTTTTAAATCAGGCTGCAGTGTTCCTATATACACCCCAGGGAACATATCTGTGGTTTATATATGGTCCTCTCAGATTTAAATCTGCCTTATGGGGCACATATGGCTTTTATATGGCCCCTCCTTTACGTACAGCCCTTTTATATGGCCCTCCTGGACTTCCAGATCCCTTAAAGGACACATATAGGGTTTCTACACAGTGCTCCTTTACCTATACCCACCCTATAAGACGCATACGTGGTTTCTATACGGTCCTTTTTTACCTCCACTCACCCTACAGGGTGCATATATAGCTTCTATATGGTTCTCCTTTACCCATATCCCTATATCCACCCTACAGGACCCAAATAGAGTCCCTATATGGCCCTCCTCCACCTATACCCACCCAGCAAGATAAATATAGGGCTTATATATGGCTCTATTATCTATGAACACCCTACAAGTCACATATAAGATTCCTGTATCTCCTTCCTTCACCTAAACTTTCCCTACAGCACACATATATGGTTTCTTTTACCTATTAACACCCTATAGAACAAATATGGGGTTCCTATATGGCCCTCTTTTACCTATTAACACCATACAGGACACATATAGGGTTTCTGTATGACACTGTTTTACTGACATCCACCTACAGGACGCATATGGGATTCGTATAGGGTCCTCTTTCACCTCTATCCACCCTATATAGGACACATACAGGGTTCCTATATGGCCCTTCTACACCTATAGACTTCCAACAGGACACATTTAGGGTTTCTATATGGTCCTCCTTTCCCTGTAAGACCCTACAGGACACATAGAGAATTCCTATATGGCTCTCCTTTCCCTATAACACCCTACAGGACATAAAGGGTTCCTATATGGCTCTCCTTTACATTTATCCACCCTATAACATGCATAGAAGGATCCTATAGGGTCCTCTTTTACCTATACCACTCTATAGGACACACACAGGGTTCCTATAGCTTTTCTTTCACCTCTATCCACCCTATAGGACATGTAGGGTTCCTATATGGCTCTGCTTTACTCACATCCTCCCTACAAGACACTTATTGGGTTTCTACATGGCCTTTCTACTCCTATAAACTTCCTACAGGACACATTTAGGGTTCCTATATGGTCCTCCTTTACCTATAAGACCCTACAGGACACATATAGAGTTCCTATATGGTCCTCCTTTCCCTAAAACATCCTACAGGACACATAGAGGGTTCTTATATGGCTCTTCTTTCCCTATAAGACCCTCCAGGACACATATGTAATTCCTATATGGCTCTCCTGTCCCTATAACATCCTACAGGACATATATAGTGTTCCCATATGGCTCTCCTTTACATTTATCCACCCTATAACATGCATAGAAGGATCCTATAGGCTCCTCTTTTACCTATACCACTCTATAGGACACACACAAGGTTCCTATAGCTTCTCTTTCACCTCTATCCACCCTATAGAACACATGTAGGGTTCCTATATGGCTCTGCTTTACTCACATCCTCCCTACAGAACACATTTAGGGTTTCTATATGGCCCTTCTACACCTACAGACTTCCAACAGGACACATTTAGGGTTTCTATATGGTCCTCCTTTACCTATAAGACCCTACAGGACACATAGAGGGTTCCTATATGGCTCTCCTTTCCCTATCAGACCCTACAGGATATAAATAGGGTTCCTATATGGTCCTCCTCTCCCTAAAACATGATACATGACATAAAGGGTTCCTATATGGCTCTCCTTTACATTTATCCACCCCATAACATGCATAGAAGGATCCTACAGGGTCCTCTTTTACCTATACCACTCCATAGGACACACACAGGGTTCCTATAGGTTCTCTTTCACCTCTATCCACCCTATAGGACACATACAGGGTTCCTATATGGCTCTGCTTTACTTACTTCCTCCCTACAAGACACATTTAGGGTTTCTATATGGCCTTTCTACTCCTATAAACTTCCTACAGGACACATTTAGGGTTCCTATATGGTCCTCCTTTCCCTATAAGATCCTATAGGACACATAGTGGGTTCCTATATGGCTCTCCTTTCCCTATCAGAACCTACAGGATACAAATAGGGTTCCTATATGGTCCTCCTTTCCCTGTAACACCCTACATGACATATAGAGGGTTCCTATATGGCTCTTCTTTCCCTATAACACCCTACAGGACATATATAGTGTTCCCATATGGCTCTCCTTTACGTTTATCCACCCTATAACATGCATAGAAGGATCCTATAGGCTCCTCTTTTACCTATACCACTCCAGAGGACACACACAGGGTTCCTATAGGTTCTCTTTCACCTCTATCCACCCTATAGGACACGTAGGGTTCCTATATGGCTCTGCTTTACTTACTTCCTCCCTACAAGACACATTTAGGGTTTCTATATGGCCTTTCTACACCTATAGACTTCCAACAGGACACATTTAGGGTTCCTATATGGTTCTCCTTTCCCTATAAGACCCTACAGGACACATAGAAAGTTCCTATATGGCTCTCCTTTACCTGTAACACCCTACAGGATAGAAATAGGGTTCCTATACGGTTCCCCTTTACCTATAAGACCCTACAGGACACATAAAGGGTTCCTATATGGCCCTCCTTCACCTCTATC